AAAGGCCTTGAATGGCAGGATGAGGTCTTTGGGTTTGCTCATGTGTGCAATGCAACAGGAGACAAGGAGACATGATACAGACGTGGTTACTGTCTCAGGAAGAGTCATTGGGAGCTGGGTATTGTTGCAGGGGTGGGGGTGGTGGTGAAGGAAGGCAGGAAGGGCAAGTCTGGGGGCTGCTGGAGAGTCCACGGTCAAGATGTGGCTTGGCTCCAGCAGAGGCAGAGGGCACACTGAGGTGGGGAGGGAGGGTTCTGGGGTACTGTGGAGCATCTCAGGCCTGTGGGATGTAAGGATGAGCAAAGGAGGCTGAAGAAGTGCCTCCAAGGTTTTGAGCCTGGAGGACCGCAGTAATGTGCTTCTCTGATGGAGCAGAAGGGTGGTGGGGGTGGGTGGATGGAGTTGATTTGCTTGCAGAACTTGTTGCAACGAATTTTTATCTTAGTAAGTTGGAGCGGGGAGACAAAGGGATGTCTTACAGGTACTGAGGAAGAGGCTGGAAGGTGTGGGTTTGGGAGAGAGCTGTGAGCCCAGGTCTGGCTGTCAGGTCTGACCTTCTACCCCTTCTCCCAAGCCCCTACCCAGAAACTCCCACAGGACCCTTCACCTCTCCCTCCCTCCCCACTCTCACTCAGGCCACAGGAATCACAGAGGAGCTCTACCGGAGAACCTATGCCTTTTGCACAAGATTGCTGACCCTGCCCACCCCCTACTGCACAGTCGCCTTGGACTGCGCGACAAGGCTGAAAACGGAGACGGCCGTCCCAGGTAAGAGCCACTGGGCGTCTTTGTCTCCCACGCTTCACCTCCAACACTGCCCAAGGTCTTACCTTTTTCTCCAGGATACCAGGGAGCTCAAAAGCCTCCACACCTTCTGTAAGAAGGTGGAGAATGGGAATCAGAGACTTGGGGGCTGGTTGACCAAAGTGGTCTGGTTTGCAGGGACACTGTACCAAAGGATGGTCATTGCCGAACAGAACTTGATGAATGAACCATATCCCTACCAAGAGAGGTGAGTGGCCCCAGAAAAACTGCTACCTTCAGCCTCCTAAAAGTTCCATGGCTTTAGTGACTCCTCCCTGGCAGGAGGCCAGAAGAGGAGCCTGGATTAAGCAGAGCCCTAGCAGACCTCCCCAGCCATGAAATTTGTCCAGCAGTGGAGTGCATTTGCAATTCAAGGTTGGCGTGCCATATTGTTTTCTGGACACCACTGACAGCAGGATAGGTCTTTCTTCCCAGGTTGGATTCGAAGCTACCCTGCTCACATGCAGAGCGTGTACATGGCCTTGTGGCCACTCTGGAGTTCTGATCCACCTCCATCCTGCCCTTGGCCATGATCCAGCATCCTTCCAGCCAGGCAGCTGGAGGAGACTCCAGAATAGCCAGAGCGGAGGGGCTCAGGTGCAACTGCACAATGAAGCCTGAGGGCTTCCATGGGGGATGCCCAGCCCCTTAGATAAGACTGAGGAAGTATCCCCTGCTCCTGTTGGGGAGAGGGGTGATGAAATTGGGAGTGGCACCTAGCTTTTCTGCAGGCACCTCCACTAACTTGGCTCTGAAAGGCACAGCTTGAGCTTGGGGTGTGAGGTGCTGTGTTCATGAAGGATGCATGGAGGCCCATGGCACCCAGAGGACTTAGCATGGGAGAGGTGGGGAGACATGGTGGGAGAGGAGGAGGGAGTAGGGGAGGTCGGTTCTCTGGTATGATAAGGCTGATGAGAGAAGGTGGGATTCCCTCAGGGTTCAGAGCTCCAGTTCTGGCAGGAAGGATTTAGGGTCCCTCCTAGAAGGTGACCTGGTCACTGGGCCAGGATGCTGAGAGAGAGAGCAGAATTGAGGCTAGAACTTTCCTAGACATGGGACTAGGTCTGCTTTCCTCTGTGGATAGTGGATTAGAGCTGCCCCTCAAGAAGGGCTGTGCACGCTCTTATTTGCCACAGTCCTCACCACTCCCTACTGTCATCCCCAATAGAGACTTCTGAATTGAAGACTCCTCTTTTTAGCAGAATTAAATTACTTGGAGGTGCTGCACAGCTCTGAGCATGCCCATCTGGTGACCCCTCTCCCATTAGTTACTGTCAATCCCACCCCTCCCCTCTGCCTCTGCCCTCAGAGTGTTCCTCTTCGTGGATCCTGAGCTGGTGTCTGCCTCTGTGTGCAGTGCTCTGCTACTGGAGATCGAGGCAGCTCAGGTGCAGCAGACACCAGAGGCCTGCATGCGCCACGTGGTCTCCCATGCCCTGCAGGCGGCTCTGGGGGAGGCCTGCCATGCAGGCGCTTTGCACAGGAAGCTGCAGGTAATGGTCCTGCCTGTAGCCAGGGTCTAGCCCTGGTCCCTGAATACCCATACCAGTCACTCACCCGCTCTTCCTCCTTCTCCTGTTCCACATCACCTTTTTCCCCAAATCAAAAATTAATACATTTTGGCTGGGCACGGTGGCTCACAGCTGTAATCCCAGCATTTTGGGAGGCCGAGTTGGGTGTATCACCTGAAGTCAGGAGTTCGAGACTAGCCTGACTAACATGGTGAAACCCTGTCTCTACTAAAAATAGAAAAATTAGCTGGGTGTAGTGACACACGCCTGTAATCCCAGCTACTCAGGAGGCTGATGCAGGAGAATCTTTTGAACCCTGAAGGTAGAGGTTGCAGTGAGCCAAGATCGTGCACTGCCCTCCAGCCTGAGCGATAGAGCAAGACTACGTTTCAAAATAATAATAATAATAAGAAGACATAAGGCAATGTTCAGTATTCCTAGCAGCAGGGTGAATGAGTGTCTCAGTCCCGAAAGCAGGAATCTGTGTCACCACAACAGTGGCTACTACATCATCTCACTCGGAGTCAAAGCCAAAGTCACTGCAATGACCTATAAGAGCCTGGTGCAGTAGCTCATGCCTATAATCCCAGGTACTTGAGAGGGCAAGGTAGGAGGATTGCTTGAGGCCAGGAGTTTGAGACCAGCCTGGGCAACATAGCAAAACTCCATTTCTACACATGATAATAATTTTTAAAAAGCCAGGTGTAGTGACATGTGTTTGTAGTCCCAGCTACTCAGAAGGCAAGAGGATCACTTGAGCCAAGTTCAAGGCTGCAGTGAGCTTTGATTATATCACTGCACTCTAGCCTGGGCAACAGAGAGACACCCCATCTCTAAAAACCAAAATAAACTGTCTCCAAGAACCTCATCTTAAGGGCCTTGACCTGTCCCCACCTCTCTTGATTTTCTCTCTGGCCCGTCTCCTAACTTTCCCTTTCATTTCCTCTGCTCCAGCCATACAAGCCTCCTCATTTTTCTCCCAACATGCACAGGCCTGACACACTTGCACCCAGGACCTTTGTGCGTGCTGCTCCCTGTGCTTGGAATGTTCTCTGGGATACCTGCATGGCTCACTCTTTTGCTTCCTTTAAGTCTTTCCTTAAAAGTCACTTTCTTAGGGAGGCTTCCCAGATGACAAAATCTAAATAATTTAGCCCCTCCCTCAAATTCCACATCCTCCTTCTCTGCTTTATTTTGTCTTTGGTGCTTATTGTTATTTATTGTACCAAAATTTTACTTATCTTGTTGATTGCCTGCTCCTTCTGCCATATACATACTATAATAGGAACTCCCATTTTTTTTTTTTTTTTTTTTTCCTGAGATGGAGTCTCACTCTCTCGCCCAGGCTGGAGAGCAATGGAGTGATCTCAGCTCACTGCATCCTCCACCTCCTGGGTTCAAGCGATTCTCCTGCCTCAGCCTCCTGAGTAGCTGGGATTACAGGCACACCCCACCACACCTGGCTAATTTTTGTATTTTTAGCAGATACAGGGTTTCACCATGTTGGTCAGGCTGGTCTTGAACTCCTGACCTCAGGTGATCTACCCTCCATGGCCTCCCAAAGTGCTGGGATTACAGGCGTGAGCCACCGTGCTTGGCCCCCAGATTTTTGTCCATTTTGTTTGCTGCTGTATCCCAGCTCCTAGAACAAGCCTGGTGCAGTGAGCTGTACTAAGTGCTGGAGATGCAGCTGTGAACAAAACAGACAAAACTCTTTGCCTTCCTTAAGTTCAGTCTAGTGGTGATCCAAGTGCTCAGAGACACTTTCAGGTGGTGGGCGTCAGCAGCCACCTCTGCCCCTCTGGGTAACAGATGTTGCAGACCTGCAGTCTCCCCATAATAGGGTATGAGAGGCAGAGGAGACCCCCCACGTGCAGGGCAGGCGTGGGGCCCTGGATGTGAGATCCAGAAGCCTTTGGGGGAAGCTCCTGCCGGTCCCCTAGGGAAAGCGGGGAGGTGTCACCTTGGGCTACCAGAGCCCTTCGGACTTGGCTTAGGAGGTGGGGTGCGTAGGCGCCGGGCCAAGGCCCAGGCTCTGACGCCCCTCCCCGACAGGCCAGCTCCCCCCGCACCCTGGAGCACTATTTCCATGCCGTGGTGGCTGCCGTGGAGCAGATGGCCAGCGAGGCCAGCCCGAGCCGTGCAGGACACGTGGAGAGGCTGGAGGAGATTTACTGCTCACTGCTGGGGCCAGCAGCGGGGCCCTGCTGTGGTAAGCGATGGCACGATGGGGGATCCTGCCAAGGGCCCCCGCAGGGGTAGATCACTGCACTGAAGGGGGCGCCAGAGAGCAGCGCTGGACCTGCCTCTGTCCGCGTGCCTGGCCAACTCCTAAGAGCCTGAGGACTTGACGGTCAGCCCAGGGATTTGGCAGGACCAGGAGTAAGAAGGCCGGTAATTAGGCCAGGTGTGGTGGCTCACACTAGTAATCCCAACACTTTGGGAGGCCCAGGCAGGCGGATCACCTGAGGTCAGGAGTTCAAGACCAGCCTAACCAACATGGTGAAATCCTGTCTCTACTAAAAATGAAAAAAAAAAAAAAAAAAAATCATCCAGGAGTGGTAGTGGGCGCCTGTAATCCCAGCTACTTGGGAGGCTGAGGCAGGAGCATCACTTGAACCCGGGAGGCAGAGGTTGCAGTGAGCCAAGATAGCACCTCTGCACTCTAGCCTGGGCAACAGAGCGAGACTCTGTCTCAAAAAAAAAAAAAAAAAAAAAGAAGACGGGTAATTTAGTCGTGATAACAGCTGACACCCCCAGAGCCCCTACTATATATACCCCAGCTGCTGCTCTAATCAGTTTACATATATTTAAATATATTGCCTATACTGTATTAAATCAATGAAACCTCAAAGGCAACTTATAAGATAGAAATGATTATTATCCCCACTTTACAGCAGATGAAACTGAGTTAGCGGTTAAATATTTTACCCAAGATCACCCAAGGCAGTAAGAGGCAAAGCCAGGCTGTCTAGTTCACCACTCTTCTGTAGTAATCAAAAGAGTTGATCGTTCAAAGACCAGAGCATCTAAAAGAGCAGAGGAGTCAACATTGTTTATATCTGGTACCATAGATTTTTATTCCTCACACTTCCTATTTGCACATTTATAAGATATCGCCTTATCTTATGCAAGGCGTTATGTAGGTAAGACAATGCCTACCCTGACATAAGCCCCATGTAGATGGGAGCATCTGAAATAGATAGAGAAACGTCCCAAATATGTGTTTCCTGGCTGTTGTAGGGTGGTTCTGATTTGGGTCCTGTTTCATGGTCACCCAAAATATCACGGAATGTGTCAGCCTGCATGTCCCAGATATGCACGGTCACTGATCGTGCACCTGTAGTTGTGCCCAGGAGATCAAGGCTGCAGTGAGCCATGATCACACCACTGCGTAAGGCATGGGGTTAAGGACTGGAATCCACTGGAAGAGGTTAGTGGGCCAGGCCCTGGGTTTGAACTTGGCAGCCCAGGTTGGGTGGAGGCCACAGAAGTTGGGTGAGGTGGGCAGGATAAAAACTGCCTAAAGACTCCATCTTCGCAGTTTTCCGCTCTCTTGCTTTAACATTCTGTACTGCCTCCAATCCCACATGGAAAAGACTGCTCCCCTCTTCTCTAGAAGCTGGGACAAACTCTGGGGCCAATCTGCCTTTGCTCCTCTATGGCCCCTTGCTGACATTCACCAGTGATTGCCTGGATCAGGCAAGACCATCTGGGCTGACCCCAAGCCACATCCAGGGACACCTGTCTCCTGCCCAGGCCTGCCCTGTGCATTTGCTTTGTTTTGTTTCGAGATGGGATCTCACTCTGTCATCCAGGCTGTAGTGCAGTGGCTCCATAATGGTTCACTGCAGCCTTGACCTCCTGGGCTCAAGCAATCCTCCCACCTCAGCCTTCTGAATAGCTGGGACCACAGGCACATGCCACCACACCTGGCTAAGCCCTGTGCATCTTAATGACCAGGCAGCACCCCTGTCAAGCCCATGGCTGTAGGGAGCAGTATGGAGCAGTGGTTATAAGCACAGTGTTGTGGGTAAGAGCAGAGACTCTGGAGCTGAGCTGCCTGGGCTCAAGTCTTCACTCTGCTGTTTACTATGTGACCTTGGGTCAGTTTTCAACCTCTTTATGTCCTGGCTCCTCCCCTGTAAAGTGAGGAGAAAAATGTCACCTGTCACCCAGGGCCATTGGCAGAATCCAGAGAAATGATTACAGTGTGTGCCAGGTGAGTAGAACAAGGCCTGGTAGGCAGTAGTAGGTGCTCAGTGAACACCAGGTGCCCTCCCCTAAGAAGCCTGCAGCCTTATGAAGGAGGGGCTACAGCAACATAGAAGTGAAATTGGAATACCGAGCCAAATCCTAAAACCACATGTGAGGTCCAGTGTGCAGACAAGTCTGCTCAGAGGGCAGACTGCTTCTGACCACCGTGGGCCTCTGGAGTGGTCAGAAAAGATTCTAGAAACAGGAGCAGGAAGACAGGCTGGCCTCGGTCTCTCCCCTGGACTACCCAGGGTTCTTGCTGCCCCCAGACTTTGCTGATGAGGTCTCTTTAGCATCACCAACAGCAGCAAATGTTAATTAAGTGTCTACTGCATACAAGATATTGGAAGCAGCCCTGAGAAGGGCTGAGGTCTTTTCTGCCTCGTCTGGATGCAGGCAGGGCATTTTAACAACAGCAGGAGGCTGGTTGTGGTGGCTCACACCTGTAATCCCAGCACTTTGGGAGGCTGAGGCGAGTGGCTCACCTGAGGTGAGGAGTTTGAGACCAGCCTGGCCAACATGGTGAAACCCGGTCTCTACTAAAAAGTACAAAAATTAGCTGCGTTTGGTAGCAGGTGCCTGTAATCCCAGCTATCCCGGAGGCTGAACCCTCTGCCTCCCAGGTTCAGGAGAATTGCTTGAACCCGGGAGGCGGAGGTTGCAGTGAGCTGAGATTGCACCGTTGCACTCCAGCATGGGAGACAGAGCAAGACTCCATCTCAAAAAAGAAGAAAAAAAGAAAACAATATTGTGAAAGCCAGTCTGGTGGTTGCACAGGGCTGAAGGTGTGGCCAGCATAGGAGAATAGGTTGGAAAAGGCCTTGTGAGCTGGTTTCTGAAGACCCCTTAGGGCTGAGCTAGGTTTGTAGGAAACATAGCTGCTAAGCATTGTTGGACAGGGAGGGGACAGCTGCACTGTTGGGCCCTGGATAGGCAGGTGGTGGCAGAAATGGAAAGGCAGACCAGATGTGAAGGAGAGAGTCCCTGTCACCCTTCTAAGACCCTGAACAAGAGTTGGGCAGGGTGGGGGGGGCAGAGGAGGCTCCCACACCCCTCTCCTCCATGGCCTCCATAGCCTGCTCCTTTCTGCAGGTGACCCTGTCCAAGAGCGGCCACCAAGCATTCCCCTGCCCAGCCCCTCCATTACCTTCCACCTGTGGACCGGCAAGGAGCAGCTCTGTAAGTGCCCATGCAGCTGGCTGGAAACAGTGGTATATGTCTGTGTCCATGTGTATGTATGCATGCATGTGTCTCTGTGTGTGCATGTGTGTCTGTCTGTAGATGAGTGTATGCTTCTGTGTCTGTGTGTGTGATGTGTATTGTGTGTCTGTGTTCATGTGTCTGTGCGTGTGTGCATGTGTGTATGTCTGTGTCTGTAGATGTGTGTATGCATCTGTAAGTATATCTTTGTGTGCATGTGTGTGCATGTGTCTGTGTGTGTGTGCATCTATGTGTGCATGTATGTCTGTGTCTATAGATGTGTGTATGTATCTGTGTGTCTGTGTGTAAGTGTGGATGTGTGTCCTCATGTGTCTGTGTGTGTGTGTCTGTGTTTCTGTGCATGTGTATCCTCTGAGGAGAACTGGCTGAAATCAGGAATGTAGCCTGCCAGCCTCACATGTCCTCACCACCCTTGTTCCCCCATCCCAGGGAAGGAACTGGTGCTCTTCCTCCGCCCAAGATCCCAGCTGCGCCTCAGTACTGACTTGGAGGTCTTGGATCTGCAGGGCATCCGGCCAGACCGGGAGTTGGCCCGGGTGTCTGTGCTGTCCACTGACAGTGGCATCGAGCGGGACCTTCCCCTGGGGGCTGATGAGCTACCTGCATCCAGCAGCCCTGAGATAGAGCGAGCTGGGCTGCAGCGCAAAGGAGGCATTAAGAAGCGTGTGTGGCCCCTGGACTTCTTGATGCCTGGCAGCTGGGACGGGCCCCCAGGGCTGCACCGGAGAACAGGCAGGCCCGGTGGGGATGGGGAAGTGCTTCCTGGCGTCTCTCGGCTGCACACAGCCCGGGTACTTGTGCTGGGAGACGACAGAATGCTGGGGCGCCTGGCCCAGGCCTACCACAGACTCAGGTGGGGCCCCAAGGTGGGGGTTGGGGAGTGGGCGCTGGTCAGGGCACAGGTGGGCTTTGCATCAGCTGGTGAAGAATCATAGGGTGGCAAAAGAGGTCAGGAGGCAGAGGCCAGGGTGGGACAGAAAAGGATGCTGTGCAGTGCTGCGTAGCCATCACAGAGCACCCAATCACTGCTTTATGTTCGTTAGTTCCGTGAACCCTTACCAGCCTTCGAGGGAGACATTACTGTACCCATTTTATAGATGAGAAAGCAGAGGCTCAGAAAGATGACACAGATTGTCCAAGGCCAAGAGATAACACATAGCAGAGCCAAGTCTGTTAGAAGCCAAGCCCCGCCCCTAACCTCCTCTGCTTTGCTGTTCGTTGCTAGGAAACGGGAGACCCAGAAGTTCTGCCTCACTCCCAGACTCAGCCTGCAGCTCTACTACATCCCAGTGCTGGCGCCTGAGGTGACTAGACCGTGGGGAAGCAGTGGCGGGGCAGAGACAGGGCAGGCTGGGCAGGGACACACCTGCAGCCTCCCATCCCCCACATCCCCAGCTCAGGGACTAGAATCAGCATCCTTAGAATGTGGAGGTGGGAGAGGCCAGCTGGGCAACATGGTGCAACCCCATCTCTATTAAAAATACACAAAATTAGCTGGGTGTGATGGTGGGCACCTGTAATCCCAGCTACTTGGGAGGCTGAGGTAGGAGAATCGCTTGAACCCGGAAGGTGGAGGTTGCAGTGAGTCAACATCACACCACTGCATTCCAGCCTGAGCGACAAGAGCAGAACTCCGTGTAAAAAAAAGAAAAAAGAAGGTAGAGGTGGGAGAGGTGTCACCAGGATTCTATTTTGGAGGCTGCAGATGGTGCTCTGGGGGCTGAATGTGCCCAGAGATTGGGTCTCTCTCTTGTTGGCAGGCTTTTTGTTTTGTTTTTGTATGTAACAGCATTAGTTGCAAACTTTTCAAACACAGGACTGACTCACTCTCTCTCTCTCTCTCTCTCTCTCTCTCTCTCTCTCTCTCTCTCTCCCTCTCTCCCTCCCTCCCTCCCTCTCCTCTCCTCTCCCCTCTCTCATATACACACATACACACACACACCACACCTTCTGGTCCGACACAAGGAAATTTCAGGCAGTGAAGTCCATAAATCCAGTTGTGGGGACATAGGTCTTACTTCCTACTGCACATTGTCTCTCCCCGTTTAAGGCTGGGTGATCATTTTTCAATGTCCCTGGTGAATGGACCTCAGCAAAAGATATTCTAGCTTCATCTGAGTTTATAAGACAGAACAACAATGCATCTTCACATGCAGAAATTGAGACCCCAAGAGATTAAATGACTTGGCCATATTCACACAGCCTAGGCTGATGGCAGCTGGAAAGCAGAGCTGGAAGAGAGGACCTGACGTGTCTGCCCCATCTCCTTTCTCCCAGAAGCCTGCAGCATCCAGGCAGCCAGAGCTGGGAGAGCTGGCTGCATTCCTGGGCCGCGTAGACCCATGGTACCAGAGCACCATCAATACACTGTGCCCCGCCATCCACAAGCTGGCTGAGATGGTAGGGGAGGGTGAGGTACCACGGAGGGAAAGAGGGAGGGGCATGGAGTCTGGGCAGAGGGGAGGATGGAAGAGCCCAAGTGGGCAGAGAGGGTGGGATGGGGGTGACAGCAGGCTATCTTTTCGCACTTGACCCTTGACCTCAAGAGTCCAGTGAGATGAGGCGGGAAGGAAATGAGAGATAGGGGTCCTAACCAGCTAGTGGCTTTGAACTGACTTGTAACACTTACCAGATGCTTACTCTGGATTGGACCACTGTGGAAAAGACTAAGTAAAATATTCTTTCATAAGTGTGTAGGGCAATTATACTCCTTCTTGTATGAGCTTCCTGTGATCCTTTTTATCATTTTTTTTTTAAATTTAAGTTCTGGGACACATGTGCAGAATGTGCAGGTTTGTTACCCAGGTATACATGTGCTATGGTGGTTTGCTGCACCTATCAACCAGTCATCTAGGTTTTAAGCCCTGCATGCATTAGGTATTTGTCCTAATGCTCTCTCTCCCCTTGCCCCTGACCCCCTGACAGGCCCTGGTATGTGATGTTCCCCTCCTTGCGTCCATGTGTTCTTATCGTTCAACTCCTACTTATGAGTGAGAACATGCAATATTTGGTGTTCTGTTCCTGTGTTAGTTTGTGAGAATGATGGTTTCCAGCTTTGTCCATGTCCCTGCAAAGGACATGAACTCATTCTTTTTTATGGCTGCATAGTAGTTCATGGTGCATATGTGCCACAATTTCTTTATCTAGTCTATCATTGATGGGCATTTGGGTTGGTCCCAAGTCTTCACTATTATAAATAGTGCTGCAATAAACATACGCGTGAATGTGTCTTTATAGTAGAATGGATCCTTTTTCTACGATCGTAATAGCTGATGTTTCCGGAGCACTTATGCTGTATTGGGCACTGTTCTAAACACTTACACACAGGGCAGCTCATTTAATTCCCACAGCAGCCCAGAGGCAGGTGCCCCTGTTGGTAGGTACTATTGTCACGATAGCCCCATTTTACAGATCAAGCAGCTGAGACACAAAGAGATTAGGTATCCTGCCTGAAGTCACAAAATGAGTGCTAGAGCACCACTTGGAACCAGGCAGTTTGACTCCAGAGCACACTCTCCTAACCGCAAACCCATGGTGTCGCACTCTCTCCATGGCTGGCGGTGGGGAGGGAACTCATCTTTTACCGATTTGAAAGGGCTTTTATATAGTAAGAGAATTTTACCTTTTTTGTCGTCAATATGTTGCAGATTTTTTTCCCATGGTTGTAACTTGCCTATCCATTTTCTGACTTGCAGAAGTTTAATACTTGTATGCAGTCAGACATAGCACTTTCATTCTTTACGGTTTCTGCCTTTGGAGTGATACTTTCAAAAGCTTAAATAGATATTCACTGATATACTCTAACACTTTCCACGTCTCAATTTTTACATTTAATTGCCTATCTGCAATTAATTTTAGTGTTTAGTGTGAAGTATGTCATTTTATCTTTTCCAAACAGGTTTTGTCCACTTCTCACTAAATTTATTACTTACGTGTGATAGTGTTCCTTGCTTTTGCGAATGATATCGTTATCCCATTATATTTGGGTAGTACCTGCTGCTAATATGAAAGGAAGCCGTTGATTCATACATATTTAT